AATGAAATAGGCCACGGTGCACAAGGAATAAACCAATCTGGTAATCAGAACGTCCAGGAAGGTAATACAGGTAAGCAATCGGCGTTAAATATGGATGAACAATGTCTAATATTTTTGATAAATTCCGATAATGAAATAGGCCACGGAGCGCAAGGAATAAATCAATCAGGCAATCAAAATGTCCAGAAAGGTTATTTAAGTAAGTACTTGACAGGGAAATACTCACGAATTTTGTTTGATACGAGTATTATTTATAAATCCTAATTATAAAACAGGCAAGCTTATACAAGGAATAAACCAATCTGGTAATCAAAATGTCGAGGAAGGCAATACAGGTAAGCAATCGCGCGCGCGCTCGTTCGGTTTTGTGTTCCATTTTAATGACTCTCGCCCATTTTTATGTTTATTTCATTTTATTGGACGTGGGTATGAAGTACCTATGTTATTTATAGGCTATATTTATAGTCGTTCCGGTTCTTCTTATTCAGACGTCGCATTCACACTTTAGTACGTAAGGCAACAAAAGTGTTAGTGAGATACACATAGAAGTAGAAGAACCAGTACCGATAACACTCGCTTTATCCCTATGGGTCTGAAAAATGGGAGAGAGTGCTTAAAATGGAATAGAAGACTTTCACTCGCAAGCGTACTTAAGTACTCAGACATAAATTCTCCGTTATACTAGACAACAATTCACATTAATAACGAAACGTTGTCTAGCATAACAACGAATTAATGTCTGAGTACTATGTACTCAGACATTAATTCGCATTTTGTCAGACACAATTTCACCATTCGAATATAATCTTAAGGAAATATTGTCTAGAAAATGCGAATTAATGTCTGGCGAATTAATGTCTAGACAATAGTTCGCAATTTTAATCCAGACAACAATTCGTTAAAATGGTGTATTTAAATCTAGACAATAATTCGCATTTAACCCAGACATTAATTCGTTCCCCCGCCTTTTTTACCGCAGATAAAAACAAATCAAAAGGTAAAATAACACGAAGTTCGTGCAGAAGCACACCATCTACATGTGACAAGACAAGCAGTACCCCAACATCATGCGATGAAACTACAAGTACCGAGTCATCTGATGAATGCAGCTCATCTTCTACAGAGTCATCTGATGAATGCAGCTCATCTTCAACAGAGTCATCTGATGAATGCAGTTCCTCGTCTACAGAGTCATCTGATGAATGCAGTTCCTCGTCTACAGAGTCATCTGATGAATGCAGTTCCTCTTCAACAGAGTCATCTGATGAATGCAGTTCCTCGTCTACAGAGTCATCTGATGAATGCAGCTCATCTTCAACAGAGTCATCTGATGAATGCAGCTCATCCTCAACAGAGTCATCTGATGAATGCAGTTCCTCGTCTACAGAGTCATCTGATGAATGCAGTTCCTCGTCTACAGAGTCATCTGATGAATGCAGTTCCTCGTCTACAGAGTCATCTGATGAATGCAGTTCCTCTTCAACAGAGTCATCTGATGAATGCAGCTCATCTTCAACAGAGTCATCTGATGAATGCAGCTCATCTTCTACAGAGTCATCTGATGAATGCAGTTCATCTACAGCTCCATCATCCTCATCATGCAATGAGAGCAGCAGCACACCTGCAAGTGACGAATGTGAGACAACTTCACCATCTTGTAATGAGAATCTTGTTTGTGTGTGCAGATGTGATTGTGATCCATTTATTAAAAATGAAAGGATGCATAAAGTTTAATATTATATAAGGGTTCTTTACATATTTTCTGGAAATGGCTTTTAGTTTTAATATTTTAATTTTTTTGTTTTAGTATTTGACAAGTACTTATACAACGTTTTTTTAAATCTATTTATTTCATTTCGTTCAAATAAAATTCATGTATGTGCAAATATGCATTTGTGGTCATTTCATTTAACTTTATTGGCTTTTGGTGGTTCAATCATTTTGTTATAACCTAATACAATAATGAGGGAGAACAAATTAAGGATAAGAAGTCATAAGTGTAAAATATTATTGATTTGGTATTTTCGTACGCCGCACTTTACTTATCTAATTTAATAACTTCTGAATAAAGTTTCAATGCAAAGTCGGCATTTATTTGACATTTTATCAAGGTTTGTTAAAACGAATATGATTTAGAAATCAGCTACACTGTATTGAAAATATTCAAATGATTCCAGTTGATTTACATCAGTTTTGCCTCGTAATATAAAGGATTCGAAAGGTTGAAGAACTATTTGATTGGACGTTATTTGTTCACTGTAAAGAAATAATTTGAACAAAGAGGAACTGTTTGAGCATTTTGACGACTTTTTTTTTTTTCAATTTTCGAGCATTTTGAACAGTTTATCTTACTTGATGGTATGTTTTGATGATACTCCGACGATATGATATGTTAATGTTTCAGTTGGATTTATTCCAATTTCAGTTAGATCGGCTGTTTCCTTGAATGGTCCAATGTTCGCTACAGTTATGTAAAGTGGTTCACCTTCAAAATACCTTAAAACAAAATATAATAATGAACAACTCTTTACAAATTATCACAGAACATTTATACGAATAATGAATAAACCTTGCAATAGCAACTACTTGTTGTGTTAGAGCCATATATTTTGTGTCACCATTTTGAAAAACTGCTTCTTTTCGAAGCTGTTTCAATTTCTTATAGACTTTCAAGTGACTATTTTCATCATTTTCTTCTTTCTGAGCGTTAACCTCTTTATAATTATCGGCAACGGGCAACCACGTTTTGGGTGCTGTCGAAAATCCACCATTTCTCTTATCATTCCTGGTTATAGCAAAACAAAACAATTACCAACTATTTCAATCGAAAACTCTTTATCAAAACATACCATTGAAATGGTGTTCGCTCAGGATCTCGACTGAATTGTGTGTAGATTGACGGATTACTATTACAGGCAGCTGGGTCAACTGTATCATTCCAACTCAGCCACTGATCGGTCATTCCTATCTCTTCTCCATTGTATGATATGCTTATTCCTGGCAAAGTTAAAATTATCATATTTATTGCATCGATTCGATCTGTTCCGAGCCTGGATCCAACACGATGCTGGTCATGATTTCCAACTACCCAATTTGCCACCTGATTCTTTGGCACAATTTTCATGAAATCATCAATGCATGCAATGTAATCATAGGCATTTGATTCGTTCCATATGCGTGATATTATTTGAAAGTTGAATGGCACATGAGATCCATTGTGAGTGCTGTTGCCATAATACTGAGCAACAATGTTCAATGGTGAATAAGATTCAGTGAGCATGATACGAGCTTCACCGCCATTCTGACGTCGATGTTCCTCTAATACTTCACGCCATTGATAAACCATATCAATTGTCTCTAGTTGATCGTAAGTAAAAATGTGTTTCAAGTATCCATAATCGTCTGGATCATTTGTATCGCCACTGTGCGGTTCATTCGGAAACTGGCCCTCTTCATCTGCTTTTATTTCGAATAGAAAGGGTACAGCATCAATTCGAAAGCCGGATACTCCGCGATCTAACCAGAATCTTAGCACGTTCTATCAATAATAAAGTAAAATAAATATTTCATTCAATCATTTCTATAGTAAAATAAAAGTATATGAAAAAAATGTAATCTTACTTTCATTTCGTCAACCACTTTTGGATTACGATAGTTCAGGTCAGGTTGCGCAGCTAAAAACTGAAAAGCAAAAAAAGAATTATCTGTAGTAAAATAGAGAAATTATACAAACAACGATATTCTTACTTGATGCAAATAAAATTCACCCCTTTGTTCGTTCCATTGCCATGCACTTTTTCGAAATACGCTTATCCAATTTGTTGGAGGTAGCCGTTTTGACGGATCGTTTGCATCAGCATAGCCTGGATGCCATGTATAAAAATCTTCAAAACCTGGCACCTTGAATTAAATATTTATAATGCATATATAATTTGAGGTAAGAAGTATTTCATTTATTTATTGGTACCTTATTAACTGATTTGATGAACCATGCATTTTGATCGCTCGAATGATTTGGCACAAAATCTAATATAATTTTTATATTTAGGGATTGTGCTTCAGCAATTAATTTGTCAAAATCTCCCAATGTTCCGTACTCGGGTTGGATATCATAAAAATCGGATATATCGTATCCAAAATCTTTCATGGGCGACCGAAATATTGGTGATAGCCATGTTGCGGATACACCAATCTCTTTCAAATATTCCAATTGCTCTGTGATACCTGAAATAACAAAAAATATTTTCATTTAAAATATCTGTTTGATAATTTAACCCTCCTGCAGACAGAATGGGTCTATCAGGCTCAGCAACTCAGAAAAAATTGAATAAAATCCAAACTAATAAATCACATATAACATAACAAATCTCACATTCATTCTCGGACATTCATATATATAACGGTAAAATACACAAACTACAAAATATTTTTTCTTGACGAAAACCAAAATCTCACTTCAAACAGACAGTATGGGCCTCCCAGGCCCACCATACAAAATGTATGGGAATCGATATATATAGAGAAACATTTTCAAAGAAATTTTTATTTTTTATATTTTGTCGTCTCCAAAAATTTTATACCATTTTAAAAGTTGAACGTGAGTGAAGATCGGACCCAGTAACAGAACCATCTGATGCGTATGTATCTCCGAAATTTATCAATGTGTGATGATTGCGCATGCTAATGCGGTTTCGACCACAAAGCCAACGGGCACGCGTATAACACATATGAAACAGTTGCAATAGAATGCCGGTCAGTCGTTGCACTTTCTTTGATGAATACATATTTCATTTGGAAGAATTTTTGTTGAGTTCGCAATATAAATGTTCAAAATTTATTGAGTTGAATTTAGTGCAAGTATAGTCAGTTTTGAATCAGGTTCGCCAACATTTGAATGTTCTAGAAGTTGTTGGAGAACCATCATCGAAGCTTCACTCGATCGAAAAACCAAAATTTGTAGTAGTAAATGTAACAAAAACGTTTGCGGTGAGCATTCAAACTTGGCTGTTTTGTGTAAAAAATGTGAAAAAAAAACTGATTCTTCAGATTCGAATTAATTTTTCTACATTTGTTTCAATAATCTTTATTTGTATTCCTATTTATTCAACTTGCTTTTCGTTTTCATCGAATAAAAAAAAAAAAAAAAAAAATTCATGTTGGATTTTTGCATTTTGGAACTATTTTCATACATTTTGTATGGAGGGCCTGAGAGGCCCATACTGTATTGATCTGTTCTTAATATGTACTGTCTGCAGGAGGGTTGAAAAGAACATCATCCGAATCATTCACTTTTTCACTTTCATTTATCAATTTTTTTTTATTAAAATCACACCAATCGGCTAAAAACCTTGCACAAATTAATATTTTATATTCGTAGCTACATTTACTGCTATGATTACCCATAATCTTTGTACATTTTTCATTTGTTCAAACTGATTGAGTAATTTGACCACAATTGGCGATTATACAAAAAAAAAGTTTATCAAGTGGCAAAAATCGCCTAGTTGACCATAATCATTTAAATTGCTTAATAGAATACATACGTTTGCATTGATTGCTGAATACCAAAACAAATTAATAAAATACTTATATCGAACAATTTACCGTTCAAGTCACCGATACCATCTCCATTTGAATCTTTGAATGATCTTGGATATATTTGGTAAAGTGACGCCGTTTGCCACCACTCTTTGGCTGGTTCATCATTTTCCAAAAGAACAAACGTAAAACCACTATTGACACATATGCACTGTTTTGAGAGCAATGTTATTGCTAACGTTAAAAATAACATTTTTAGAGATGTCTCCATTGATCGATGTAGTGAACTGAACCAATTCTATACTGTGACTAAACTGAATTTTTATTGCTTCTTTGAATTTGTGAATTCGTAAGAACGGATACACCAACAAAATACACTTTATAATCATACAATATTTTAGATTAACATATGAAACGTTAAAAATATTAAAACCATAGACATAAAATGTTTATGTGATACCATATTAGGAAAAAATGTACAGACTTTCAAAAGAAAATGATAACATAAACGACTCATGTATGTATATGTGCCAGATAGCATAATGTGAAATAATCAGAGAAAATTTCAACACAAGTATGCAATCATTTGAGTCTTTTTGCAAAATATTGATAAGGAACGTTTCGTTTGACATCGCAAATTGAATAATAATAAAAAGAAATGAACTAGAGAAAATTTGATGTACGAAAAAATAAGTTAAAAATAAAAAAATAAGAATGAACTTGTGCGCTTTGGAAAAGCTTCTGTATCGATAAGTAAAGCGATATGAATGCCGACGGTTTTGCACTTTTCGATCATCCAAACTAGTATTTCTTTCATAAAAAATAATGCGGCGCCTCCGTCATTGTTTCTTTTAAAAGTATAAGATTCACATCTCAGCGACAACAACATTTCAACACCTACACACATCGCACCAATATACAAAACATATACAATACTAAGTTGTTGCCGATGACATCATTAGAGAGCACAAGTGATCGATTTGTTTGTAAATATGTGGAGTAAAGGTAAGCGCGCGCAGATCATACCATACATTTGCACGTTTAATGTTGTTATTGTTGTTGTGGTTATTCTTCTCGTTTAAGCGGTTGCAGCGTAGATGTTGTTCAAGTATATCGTATTCGTAACGTTCATCACACTTAATTGATGCAAAAAGCAACCGCGCTGTGTGTGTTGTTGTGGTTTCTTTGTTGACCAACTGTATCCATACATTTCATTTGAGTTGCGAGCATGATAAAGTATAAAGTATACACGCTTGAATTTACTTCAGTATTCATCTCGCAATCATATGCATAAAGTCTTAAGAAATGAACGTACATCTGTGACAAGTCGAGTGTTTTTGTTCATGTAAACATTGTAAAAAGTTGAAAACGAAAATTTGAAAAAAGAAGGAGTTTTGTGTTGAAGTGCTGTGACAGTTTGAGTTTTTTTTACCTTAATGAAACATTGTAAAATTCTCAGTTCATAGTTTACAAAATGTTACAGATTATTGCATTTTTAACGTTATTATTACTTAATATCCAACAAATCGAGTGTAATGGGTTGGTGTTTTTGAAGAAATAATTATAAAAAAAAAATTGTATCACTTATTAATTTTAGTACGAAGCAACGGATTCAAATGTTAAAAGTGTCAAATATATATTTGTGTGTGAATTGGTTTCTTTTCGTTTGGGTTGGTCATTCAGTTTATTCGTATGTATACATGTAAATATTACATAAACGCATTCCATAAAATGAGAAATGCGTTTAGTACTTGATTTACTGTTTCGCAACAGACAAAAAAATGGCAATTAAGGCTTCCTTATTTGTAAATTGGCGATTTGATATGTTATATCTAAGTGATTTTTTTCTGGATTTCACTGTACGAGTGGTCTTTTTATTTTGGGGTTTGTTGCGAGATTTACGTTGGCGTTTTGTGAGATCACTTACTCTCGTGGCATTTTATATACGTCTGGCATATTTTTTTTTCTTTCTTACACGCGGTAACAGTTCACTTTTCTAATTATAATTTCTAAATAAATTGGATTACATTGTAATTATTTCATTAGTCAGCCACATTATCTAATTCCGGCCGTAAATTTCCTCTCAATTCCATTTTAATGAATTCGGTGAATCATATTTAATAATAACAATAACAACGCATACATTTTACCGTGAATCGCACCAAGGTCATTATAAAATTTGGTTCTGAATTCATAAATACGACAACAATCGATCTCATCTCTGTAGTACATGTTAACCCTCTAATGCATTAATTTTTTTTCGACATGAGACTTATTTTTCTATGATTGTTTTGGTTTATAATTCCTTAAAAAAATAATCGAAATTCAAAAAATCGCATGGTTTTCTCAAAAAATGCAATTGACAAAATTCGAGAACAATCAAAACCATTGTTTAAACTGCAGTAAAACTGCTATAAACAAAAAAAATGATAATTTTTTTGTCAAATTTCTGTTTTCGAGTACAACCGTGTTTATAATTAAACAACCGATTTACATCCAGTTGTCAAATGACCGGAAAATGAAAGCCTGAACCCTACTGAATGTATTTTAATTCATAAATAAAATCTTTTTTTTTAAATTATATATTTTAGACAATAATTCATACACTCCGCCTCAAGGCAGAGCTATGCACTAGAGGGTTAAGTGGTTAAGTTTTATTGCAGATGTGTTGAGATGTTTGTATGTGCACTTTTTGACGATGACACAACACCAATCAATCGATACTTTTACGGCAATATGAGAGGAGAAAAAATGTATTGGTTGTATACGTGTAACAGCAACTTTGAAACATGATGATCATTGCTGATCATATATATAAATGGACGTATCTTCCATATATAGAAACTTGATTTCATTGAAATTACTGAAGAAAACGATCGACAAAAAATTCGACGCAACATTTCTGACACTTTTTTTCTTCTTCTTAATGAATAATTGAACGATAAATGCCACCTTTTTAATTTCTATTCTGTGAGGTCAAAAACTTACATGCATGAATGATACTTTAATATGAGAACACAGATAAAGAGATAGAGGGCGGGAGTTGAAGAAAAAAATCGTCAAGTGAAAATATCCGTTAATCTGTTTATTTCTTCTCTAAAACTGATTTCAGAAGAAAAAAAAACAATATAACAAAACTAGACTTTATATTATTTTTGCAATTTTGCGCTCGTAAACGATACATTTATCTATTGAATACACATTGCATGTATCAAAACTAGAGACAAGCTTTCTTTCAATTTTAAAAGCAACCCACAACAAACTTCGTGTAAACAGTTCAAGTTGAAATATTTACATAAACTACATTTATAGCGTATATTGATTCATTCAGTCGACAACCAAGACGACGACGACAACGACAATGTCGCCCACCCAATTCCAAATGTTTGCTCATTAAATATATTGTGAAATTATTTAACAATGCTTGTAGTCGATGTAAATGAATTTGATGAGCTAATAGTATGTGTTTTTCTTTATTTTTTCTTTTGTGTAATGATTTCTGCACACTGTATACAGTCACTATTCGATTGTGGCACCTGATGTAATTCGGCCAAATTCCGAATATCATGTTGCGATTAGTTTGCATGACAGTTCAACACCGTGTGAAATTCGCGTTGGCATTGAAGGCATTCAAAATGGATATTCAAATTATCGAGAAACATCTTTGCAACCGTACACAAGTCAATTGATACGATTCACGACTGGTTTTATGCAATCTGGTCAATATCGTTTAAATGCTGAAGGTTTGAGTGGTTTGGATTTCCGGAACGAAAGACCGCTCAGTTTAGTATCAAAAAATGCATCGATATTTGTGCAAAGCGACAAGGCTATATACAAACCTGGTGATTTGGTGCGCTTTAGAATACTTGTTCTTGATCATAATTTGAAACCCGTTCCAAGCCAACAGCCAACCAATATTTTTATTACGGTAAAGTTTATGTTCATATATATTCATTCTCTATACCATCAACAACGCAATCATACAACACCACATTTTTTGTTTGTTTCAGGATGGCGGTAATAATCGCATAAAAGGATTTGCCAATTTGAAAACATCACGTGGCATAGTTAGCGAAGAATTGCAGCTATCGAGTTATCCTGTGCTTGGTGATTGGTACATCACAGTTGAGGTGATGGGCGAAGTAAAGAAATATAAATTTGAAGTGGCCGAATACGTTTTGCCAAAGTTTGATGTTACAATTGATACGCCAAAACATCAATATTTTCAAGATGGTAAAATTCGAGCAACAATTCGCACAAAATATACGTATGGAAAACCGGTAAAAGGTGAAGTCACTGTGGCTGTGTACCCAAAAACCTATGGATCATTTCAACCATTTGCAAATAATTTGATAACACGCAAAGTGTCGAAAATTGATAGTAAAGCATATGTTGAATTTGACATTACAAATGAATTGAATGTTAAAGAAGACTACGAACAAGCAATGGTCATGGAAGCTATTGTAGAAGAAGAATTCACTGGTCGCAAACAAAATACAACAGTTGACCTATTTTTACATAAATCCAAATATAAAATTGTATTAAATAATGCAGTAGCCAATTATAAACCGGGACTGCCGTATAATGTAATGGTGTCAGTGCAAAAATTCGATGGTACACCTGTTACAAATGGTGCCAATACCATTCGTGTTCGATTGGCGTCAAGCTATTATGACGATGAAAATGCAACTGAAACCATTCATACGCTTGACCAAAACGGCATTCTTTACTATGATATCATTGTGACACATTCGAATGGATTTACACTCAAATTCATTTACTTGGATGCCGAAGAAAGACTTGGATGGATTCCAGCTGTTCATTCAGATAGTCATGCGTATCTCAAAGCTACACTAAAAACAGCAAAGTAAATCTATTCAGAAAATAGTAAAATATTCAGAAAAGTTTTATAATTATATTTTCTTATAGGCCACGAATCAATCGAGATATTGAAATTGAAATTCAATCAACCGAAAGTCTACGTTATCTCTCATACCAAGTGTTGGGCCGTGGCGATATTATCGTCACAAATTCAGTTGAAATTCCAAATAGAAAGAGTCACATCATAACATTTTTGGCATCATTTGCTATGGTTCCAAAAGCACAGTTCGTCGTTCATTACATTAAAAATGATGAAATCATTTCGGACCGATTGGAAATTGATTTGGCGGAAGATCTGCAAAATTATGTAAGTAATTTTAAGAGCATTTTCAATTCGGTTAATATTTTTTTCACATGAAATTGTACGATTCAAATGAATATCTATTTCGGGAATGGAACAGGTTGAAATTGATGTATCGACGAAACAAGCACGGCCTGGACAAGAGGTCGACATTACTGTAATTAGCAAACCGAATTCATATGTTGGTATTTTGGGTGTGGATCAAAGTGTCTTATTACTACGCAAAGGAAACGATTTGGACAAATCACAAATATTCAACGAACTGGACGAATATTCGAGAAAACAGTTGACTCATTCAAGATATTACGGAATTGATGAGTGGGAGGATTTTGCTGTATGTTCTTTTTACCACTTCCATTTACTTCATATATTTTATGTTGAATATTTTTACATGTTTGTTGTAGAATTCTGGCGCTGTTCTACTCACAAATGCCAAACCAGCGGAAAATCGTGAGTTTTTCTATGTATCAAGATTATTTAAAAAGAAGAGGACAATTTTCCGTTTAATAAACAAATTGAATTTGGGTCAATTTCATAGCAATAAATTTCGATATTTTTCGATTCCACACAAATAGATAACGATTACGATTACGTTTATTATGGATTTCCAAATGATGAAGAAATTCTCCGTGTTTCCGAAACCAATTCAGTGTCCATAAGTTCAATTGTGATTCGAAAGAATTTCCCCGAAACTTGGCTATGGAAAGAAGTTACAAACATTAGGTTAACTTCTATGCTCTTAGATTTGTTTTTTTTTCTTTTTTTTTCTTCTTCCCTTTTTCCAAATGCTCCTTTGATTTTGAATTAAAATCTATTCGTGAATGAATGCTTTCTAATTGAATGAAAAACCTGATTCACGAGATAGAAAAAAGATACTATCCTTAGTATAAATGTTATAGAAATGGTTTGGGGTTTTACCGTCCAAATTGAATATGTATAATAGTCTTTTACCTTTCAAGTATCCGCAAATCAATTGTTTCAAAATGGTGTTTTATATATTTAGCAGTGTATCAGTCGTCAACAGTCCCATCGTATGATAATGAAATATCGTACGGTCGAAGCCTAACAACCGTTAAAAAAACAGACATTGGGCCAGCTCACGTTCTAAGAACAAATACGCGACCACCATTAGCCGGTCCGTATGCATTTTCACGTATTCCAAAACCATATTGGGATCGACCACGAGTTCATCTCATGAACGATATTAGCGACTCATTTTTATTTGTTAATTTCTCCTCGGGGTAACTACTTTTGCTTATTTCTTCTATTTTTCTCTCTCGATAAAATCAAAGTAATGTTCAAAAAAGTGTAAAATATAAATACTAATTCAGGTGATGGTGAATGGGCTTTCATTGGTGAATATTTATTTTTTTTCATTCTGTAGAATATAGATGCTGTTAAATTTAGAATTATTTTTTTTTCTCATAAAATGTTTCTTTAATTCAATGGGATTCTTCTCCTAATCCATGTATTCCTCATCCATTTTCTGTCTCGTGTGCACATCAATAAAGTAAACTATTAAATATTCATCACACATTATTAATAAACGAGATATTCAGTCATTTCACAGTACACAAATCAATTCTAATGGGTATTTTTTTGTCATCGATATAGCAACGCTGGACGTCATACGATCCATAAAAAAGTTCCAGATACAATAACATCATGGGTTATAACTGGATTCTCTTTGGATCCAATAAGCGGTCTTGGCTTATCAAAGGAGGCGAGAAACTTACAAGTGTTTCAGCCATTTTTTGTTTCATTAAATTTACCATATTCGGTGAAACGTGGTGAAGTTGTTTCCATTCCCATCGGTATTTTCAATTATTTGGACGATGAATTCGATGTTGAAGTTACTCTGCATAATACTGAACAAGAACTTGAATTTGTGCAAATGGCCAATGAAATTGATTCGCCGAGTAAGTTATTATCGTATCATATTGGCACCTATAAACCATCCAATTCATCATGTATATTACAGAAATTGAACTTTATCGCCGAAAGACGGTGCATGTAAATGCAAATGAAGGAACTGGCGTATCGTTCATGGTGAAACCAAAAAAAATTGGCCCAATGACAATAAAAGTGACGGCACGTGCTCCTAGAGCTGGTGATGGTGTTGAACGAATTTTGAATGTTGAACCAGAAGGAGTAGCACAAGTTGAAAATTTGGCAATGATTATCGATTTACGTGATAAAACACAATTTGATGGTAATTTTACGTTTATCATTCCCAAAAATGCGGTTTCTGATTCGACAAAAATTGAAATTTCCGCCGTTGGTAAGTAAAATATTCAATCTTGATATGCTTAATAAAACGTTTATATATTTAATATCATTCGTGTGAAGGTGATTTGCTTGGCGGTTCTGTGAAAAATATGGAAAAGCTCATTAAAATGCCATATGGCTGTGGTGAACAAAATATGTTGAATTTCGTACCAAATATTGTAATTATGGACTATCTACGAACGACAAATCAATTGTCACCGGCTGTCGAACTCAAGGCAGTAACATTCATGGATGCCGGTTATCAACGTGAATTGAGTTACAAACACGAAGATGGTTCGTTCAGTGCGTTTGGTAAGAGAGACAAAAGTGGCAGCACATGGCTCACGGCATTTGTTGCACGATCATTCATCCAAGCATCCAAATACATTCAAGTTGAACAACGGATTATAAATGAGGCTTTGGATTGGCTGAGCCACATTCAAGCACCAAATGGTAGCTTTCCAGAAGTTGGAAACATTATATCAACTGAAATGCAAGGCGAAAGCGGTAAAGGTATGTTTGCATTTTTTTTTGTCGATGAGTGTTTGTGTGGATATTAATCTGAACAAAACAAAATGCGATGAAATGTTTACAAAATATATATATTATTATTTCTGAATTCATTTTGTAGGCACTGCACTGACCGCATACGTGTTGGCGGCATTTTTGGAAGATCGAGTAAGTTTGTTTCTTGTAATTTTTAATGAGAAAATGACCTCTTCTATGAATAAATTTTACAGAGTAAATCGACCATGTACCAGAATGTAATCAATAAAGCTATTGACTATGTTGCAAGAAATCTTGAAGGAAGTGATGACCTTTATTCACTTGCTGTAGCTGCATATGCATTGCAATTAGCCAATCACAATTCTAAGAATTACATTTTGCAAACATTTGATTTGAAATCCAAGCGAAAAGGTATTTCAAACACCAGTTTCATGAACGAATAATTGATTGTAAACAATTTTTTTAAATAATGAAACTAATAGTTGATTGATTTTTTAGATGATAAAAAGTGGTGGGAAAAACCTGTTCCAGAGGCAGATACCAAAAATATTTGGTATACGAAGCCAAACTCAGTAAATGTGGAAATAACTTCATATGGATTATTGGCATTATTAGAAGCCGGATACTATTCTGATGCATTGCCAGTTATAAGATGGCTGGTAAATCAACGAAACGAACTGGGTGGTTTCCAGTCAACTCAAGATACATTCGTGGGATTAAGAGCATTAGCCAAATATGCGGAAAGTACATCGAACAACTATAACAATGTACAAGTTCGATATAAATATGAAGGTGGTGAAAGTCAAATCAACGTCAATGGAGATAATGGATTGATTCAGCAAATCAACGACGTAAGCTTATTTCAAGTTATATATAACGTTATATTTATGATTTTAATTGTCATTTTTAGCTTCCAAATGATGTGCGCCAAGTGAATGTCACGGCAACTGGTAGAGGTTTTGCATTATTGCAATTGACCTATAAATATAATATAAATGTTACTGGCGCTTGGCCACGATTCACATTGGATCCACAGCCGAATAAAAATTCACATCAAGACTACTTACATCTTACCGTTTGTACCAGGTAACAAAAAAGTGTTCCGGCTACGATTTTTGCACTGAAAAATTTGAGTATTGATTTTTGTTATTTTTCCATTTTTTCTATGAATAGTTTTGTTTCGATTGGCAATGAAACAAAATCAAATATGGCTGTTATGGAGGTTCAATTTCCTAGTGGTTTTACAGCTGATTTGGACACACTGCCATCGCTTGAAGTATCCGAAAACGTGATGAAAGTTGAAACAAAGAATGGAGATACGATTGTTGTGATATATTTTGATCATTTAACACGAAAAGAACTGTGCCCAACGCTTGATGCATTCCGAACGCAAAAAGTAGCCAAACAACGACCAGCAGCCGTTACCATTTATGACTATTATGACAATTGTAATTGAAAATTCTTCAATTTCTTTTTTTTTTTTGATTTTGTTTCAAGTTTCAGAGAAACCCCAAACTTATATTCGATTTCATTCTTTTTAAGCTCGTCGGGCACGCCAATTTTATAAAATGCGAGAAACAACGCTATGTGATATTTGTGAAGGAAGTGATTGCAGTGATACATGCCAAATTCGAGCATCGCAACAGCGAAGTTATGAGTCATCATTACTCGATGACGAAGAATATGCTAGGGTGATGGAAACCAGTAACTCTCAGTCATTATATGTTTCGGAAATCATTCTAGTTGTTAGTTTATTGTCTACATTTCTAACGCGATAAATTATTAATTTTGCATAAAAATTTAACAAAAAAATTTCATTCTAACCAAATATTATTTCTAAGTTAACTGCGTAAGAGAATCGATGTTATTTAAAACGAGTAATTTATATATATATATATATATATTCGAATGCAATAGATTTAACAAAGCCATGATTAGTGATATGTTCAGTTGTTAACAATATTAGTCCAAATAATAAAATGAAACGGAATAAACTCAAATAAGCAACAAAAGTAATACTTCAACTTGTCATTCGATTCTAGTATTAACGCCCCTGCCAAGTGCTTTTGCGACATAAGGATTTATCTCGACTGGCATTCTCAATCTCAGTTCGAATTGATAAAAAACTAAATTGAATGGAGGCAGCACCAAATCTACAGTTTAATAGAATCTGTAAACAGATTTCTACTATGTACCATCGCTACTGGCTTTGAAATATTAATATAACGTTTCACATTTCAGTCGCAATGCAATTACAATTTCTAAGCTCAGCGCAATTCTCCTCCTTAACATATTTTTTTTTTAAATTAAAGGAAATTATTTAGTTCATCCGCATTCAACTGTTGGTAAAATTAATCAGTTTATCCATTATTGGTCAGCCGAAAGAAATAAAAAAAATTCAAATTATTGTATAACAATGCTCAATTCACAAACGAAGTGTGCAATTGAATGGCCTGAAAATGAATTATAAAAATGTTCAATTAATGTTCCAAAGTAAACGATTCATGAATTGGAACAATAACAAAGTATGTTTATTTCATTTTTATTCTGGGTACTGGTTCACATTTTGTCGGACTCATTGCTTGAAGATGGTAAGTGTGATCACGATTTTAATTCCAGCCAAACGCACCCATTCAGTACAGTCTGGTGCATTTTTAACTACACACTGATTAAATCGTTGCATATTAAATTGTTAATTAGTAATTATCATATTTTGAGGCCGACTTTGAATGAACTGTAAAAAAGGCATGGAGAAATGAAAGAAAAAAAACAGTTATAATCGATTCAAAGTAGTTTGAATGTCTCTGTAACAGTTGCTATAGTGCCTTGCTATCTGCAATAAAAAAAATGTTCATTTGGTTGAATTCGCTCGCTAAATTGGATACGCATCGTTACAAACAAATGCATAAAAACGTAAACACCTTTATTTTGATAAAGGAAATTGTTTTTTACACTCTGGCAACAAATTGAACCAAGAGTATAATCAAGAGAAACTTTTTTTTCTTTTGCGAAAAAAAAAACACACGCACAGTTTCAGCTTACATTCTCCACCAACTTCGATTTGATGTGTAATGAATGAAAGAAAAAAATATGTGTAAACCAACAAACAATCAATTCTTCCGAAAACAAAAATAAGTTCATCATGCGATAATAATGGATTACGTTTGAATTTGGCGAATAATCACTTGTGTAGTGCATTGTAATGCAACACAGACTAGCTTAAAACATTCAGGAAATATAAATCAATTTTTGTGCAAGCACACACATCTCTTGCATGCTACCCGTCGAAATACAAAATAATAGTAATAAACAGATTTGGCGCTATTGCACAATTGTATCCATACTGATGCTAGGGGGTTCCGACTTATACGAATGTTCCATATGCAAGCGAATTTTTCATATATATTTTGCAAATGGAAACGAATGGTTGCAAATGTTTCATACAAATTTTGCAAATGGTGGCGGATGTTTCATACAAATTTGCGGACGGTGTCGAATGTTTCATACACACTTTGCGGATGGCGCATATGAAAAGTCATATTTTTACATTCAAAAAGTCAAAGTGACAGATTAGGTGACAGAGATTCAAGCCGAATTGATATGTTTTTGGTAATATTGAGTGAATTTTTTTTAAATGGTAAATAAATCTTTGCCACTCGTAATATTATCACTGTAAACGGTGCCTTGTGAAAGGTTTTTATTGTCATTGACGTAACTTTCAATTTCTTTTATATTATCTAAATTCATTTCCAAAATCTCACTTTCGAATCAAATACGAAAATAATATTCAACAAATAATCTTGTATTTTTTTCTTCAACTGTTTTTCAAATTTGGTTGAGAACAATGAAATTGTGTTTGAAACTGCCACGACAAACCAGTGACTGGTTCGGGCATATTTCTATGCCTGATAGCTATGCTAAGCATAGCGGAGACGCAAGCCGCAACGCACCTGTCGCCATTCGATTCGAGCTATATTGTATGCGCACGGTCGTCTGCATAAACGAACATGTGTATTGTTCATATAGAGTGAACGGCGATGCATCGGTTGCGTTTGCGGCTATGCTTGGCATATCTATGCTACCTAGCGTATTTAGGCAAGCATAGAAATATGCGCGAACCGGTCACTGCGACAAACTGAACACAGCAATGATAGATGTTGATACGGATGAATATACTTTACTTCGTATATTCCATGTATGAATAGGAAAATGTTCATATATTCCGTATAAAATGGCATTCGCATATAGTAAAATGCCCCTAGTACTGATGTGATGCTCTTTTGTACACCAATTTCAACAAACAACTCGACATTAGACTCGGATTTCACATGACAATTAATGAAATGCAATAATGCAAATATTTAATTCCTCAGCCGGTACGCTGAACTAGTCACATCAAAATCAAACGTACATTGTCTCATGCATGGAATAATTAGCATATATGTGTGAATTTCAATGTAGCTTATGTTTTTCGAATACACTTGTACACTTGGTGCGAACTGTTGTTTGAAAAAACCATTCATAGAAAAATTAATTTAAATAAGACCAGAAAATTAAATCAACGATAACCATGTCTGTCGGCTTAGTTTTGCTGGTTTCATTCAGTTTACACATTAAACTGTGAACATTTTCTTTGGACAATTCCACATAGTTTGTTTATTTTGAATGATGTATGTTCTATGTCAAACTAAGAATTTCGATTTTTAGCGTTAAAAATAACAGAATGAACGTTTAGTGTTTAACGGCTTTACAACGACTTTTTTTAATGTAAAATGCATGCACCTAGTTTAAATACACTCATAATTTTAGAGAAAATGCGACATGTTGCAAGTGAAAATACACATAAATCCTTTGAGATTACCGTAATAAATAAAAACATGCCTTTTTTAATGGAAAAATGCAATCACTTTTTCTCCAAGGACAAAAATGGATTTATGTATATTTGTATTATTAAAAAAAAAGTCTATTTCCCGCTTTAAAACGGTGTATAATCAAGCTGTTTGGTGTATGGTGTAAATGAAGTATTTACTTGGTAATGTAGGTAAGACAGATAAACTTCCAGAGGAAAAATCAAAATATATCTGACATGTAGTGGTGTTGTTGACTTCAATGTTAATCATTACATTCTACGGTAGTCCATTCATTCATACGCCGACTAAGTATTCACAAGATCAATGGTAGAAAGTGATGAAATATCTGACATCTCGGTGATTATTACCACATGACGTATGAAGATACGTTCATTGTAACTTGCATTTTACATTCCATGAAGAAACAAAAGAAAAACTATATACATAGTTGCAAGCACACTTCACGTACCTTGACTGTGTTCGGCTTCTTGTCTATTTGGATGCATGACTTTGTAATATTTTAATGAATATATTAAGTATTATTTCTTCTCTGCATTTCGTTTTCATTGTTTTCGGTGGTTGTTTCTTCTTCTTTATATGCTGCAGTACGTGAACACTATGTTTTTCACCCAATGCGAAATTGAATCAAAATTCGAAATATGTATGATTTGCGTGTTGTTTTATTTAATTTTTCATGCAGTTAATTTGTTTCACGCCCGCTCATTCTCTCCCTTTCCCTCCCCGTGCGCTAACTCCGTCTATTTGTTTTTCCCAATATATTTATTTCTTTTGCTTTATATTTTAGTGATTTTTTCTCTCTATCGTATTCGGTTTATTTGCTGCATTCATTGTGATAATGTTGTATGCTCGCTTAAATGCTCACTGTACATGTACAGTGATTAACTTCTTCTACTTTCACGATTTGATTTTTAGTTGTTGAAATAATAGTGTGATTGATTACGCGATGTATAATTGAATGGCGCACATGTGCGCTGTTTACAATTGTTGCACCGTTTTTTGGTGGTGTTGTTTTTTTTCGTTGTTTTTCATTATTTTCAATGGCTCACAGTTGATCTCACATATACACTATATATTCGGGAATTTACTTGGTGAATTTTCGATTGGATAGTGGTGTATGTGAGTTCGATGTTTGCTTTCTTGTTCGTTGCTTTCTCCATATAAATATAGAGTGCAACCGAAGCAGCGCTTCAGATCTACAAAGTACATCAAATATTGTGCAGTGCTTCCGCCGAACAATTTGGGATTACGGATTATTTATCCTTTTAACAAGTGTTGTGGTGAAAAAAGAAGAAGAAAATAAGAACCAATTGAAATTAAATTAAAAAAAAACGGTGCACATTTTTTTTTAGATCCGAAGTGAGAACAACAAATATTATTACGAATATGGAATTGCGAATTGTGGTGAGTTTAGTTATGAGATTAAAAGAATTTGAGCAGATTCGGTGTCATTTCGATATTTTTTTTAGTTATTATTTTAAGTTCGTGTAAAAAAGTCATCGGATTATTTGAAAATTATAAACAATGGTGAGCTCGATGATAGCACGTGAATTTTTGTTCATTGCAAAATTAAATTCTACCGGCCAAAATTATAATTGAATTTTCAAATCGCTCAAGAATCAGCAGAAAATAATTTAAAAAAAAATTTCAAAAGAATTTGTGAACTGATTCCACTTCATCAATTGAGTTGAATTTTTTTAATGAAATTGAACATTGACGACATTGATTGAAAGTTCATTGGTGTTTCGATAATATGTAATGGTAAATCAATTAGACTTACGAGTCCCTTGTTGTGTTAGCAGACATTGTGAACAAATTTGATGTAATATTTCCAAATTAAATATTGTTTATAGTGAATTCGAGCGAAACGCACACGCAAAAACACACCAAAACTATGCATTTTTGCTTGCTTTAAGCGTACATTAGCTTTTTATTGTTTGTTTTTCCCTCTGCTGCATGTATTGCATGATGATTTGCTGATTATTTTTTTTGTTTTGTTTTTTAGCTGCTGGCGGCTTTATTTATAGTTATCATAACCATTAGTACATCAGAAGCTGGGTAAATGCACTACACTTTCCAGGAAATAAAATACATATCGATTCACGCAACTTAACATAAGCATTTTTCATTAATTTCTTCAATGAATTTATCATTGTTGTAGACAAATACTTCATCAGAGTAGTGAGTTATATGTATCGTTCTGCAAATCGATAATAATAGATAGAAAAAAATTATCAAAACTTGTACAATATCGCCTTTATATACTCACTGTATTCTGATGAACGTCTCTTTCCATAAGATCTCATCATTTCTAATTGACTTTTATTTTGAATAATGTTTTCCCATTTCGTTTAAGCTATCACAAAAAGAAAATAATAATTCATGTACCGGTAAAAAAATCGCATCATAAACATACACATACGCAAGTCAAGAATATTCATCATCATCACAAGCCCATTGTTATAAAAGAGGAAAAAGTAATCAAAGAAATTGTCAAGAAACAACCGGTTCCAATAAAAATTAAAGAGGAAGTATCACACGATCATTTCCATCATCATTACAAACATACGCATCCCGAACAGGTTACGAAAGTGGTAAAAGGGCACAAATGGCTGTCGGAGAGCACTGAAGGCGGTTTTGGTGGCACACGTTTTGGCAATTCGGGAAACGGAAATTTTGGTGAAAACAGCGGTTTCGGTGGCGGAAATGGTTTTAATGGTGGTGGTGGCGGCGGCGGCAGCAGCAGTTTCAACAGTTTTGGTGGCAGCGGTTTCGGTGGCAACGGTTTTGCCAGCAGTACCAGTTACAGTAGCACAAATTTTGGTTCAAGTGCGTCAAGTGGCCAAGGTGGCAGTTTTGAATACAATAACTTCCGTGGGGGACGAAAGGTAAATGACAATATCTACAATTGATATACACCGAATTTAATATTTGTTTATGTTTTGATGAATTGTAGGTAGCCACAGCATCACAAGCCGCAACGCTCAGTGGAGAAGGATTTTAAATCTCGTTTCATTTTTAAGTAAAAAGTTTTATTCAAATGAGATTGTATGGAGCTGTATGTACAGTTTGTATTTTATACTTGAATTTAAGAAGAAGAAAAAATGGCGATTTTCTATTACAAACACTCGCCCGCATCGATCAAAAAAAAATTGAACAATTCCAGTTCATTTGTATTGATCGCTTGAATGTACAGGTTTTTTTGGCTGCGGTTGTTTATTCTGTAAAATATTTTATTCTATTGGATGGAATTAACCGTTCCATACAGTCTCATTCTTTCTTTTATTTCTCTTAGAAACAATCGATAGATTTAAGTGGGCTTAAAATGTTCGGTTACATTTCATTTTGGGAATATTTAAAATTAAATAAATGAAAATCACAGAATTTCAGAAACAGGCTGAGAACATTCGATTAAATAATTTATTTTGTCTGGCCAAACTATTAGAGATGTATAATGCAAAATAAATGCTCAACGTTGGTTTCATATTTCATTCCTAATATTTGGCCCGGAAGTGCAAACATATCTTACCAAACCAAATGACGATAAACATTTATGCTAATTATCAGATGTGTAATAAATTATAAATTGACATTTATTTACTAAACATTTTGAATTTTCATTTTAATGTAGAAGAACATAAATATTTTTTAAAAAATCTCTTCTTTGTGTTTGTTTGAACAGTACAGAACAATCGCTGAACATCTTCAAATTGAGAAAAGTATACAAGCCAGTTTCATAGCGTAAACTTTCAAACTTGGCGCACAATGCGGGACAAAATACATGTACACTAACTATTATTTGTTTGATGTGAGATTATCACATCCAAACAAATGTTTTGTGAATGCAAAATTGTATCTATTTTCACGCAGAAGCCAGGTGAAGTTGGTAGCAATTGTGGTGACAATGAAAAAAAAAGACAAATAATTTGAAATTTTTCAATGAAATTTTACTCAAACATTGAAAAAAATAAATAGATGCTACTTTATTGTTTGTAAATCGCCATATCTTCGTATATTCAAAATCATTTGAAGCTTTTGACTCATATTGTTTGACTTTGAATGTGATCCCACCAAATGAATTTCAAAAAAATATAAAAAAACTTGGTATTGCCAGATGCCTTATGATAAAACCTGACGCCTGGCTATGATTTGTATAGGTGAGATAACTTTTGTTTTTATAAAAAAAAAAATTGAATAAAATTCAATGCATGTCCAGTGTGTGATCCGCTTTCAACTTTTATTTGATATAAATATTGAATTTGGTCTCTAAGAATCGTTTTGGCGTTAGTATTACCAGTCACCCACATACACACTACGAATGCTTGCTCATTTATCTACTAAACAAAATGTCTACACATTGTATTAGTAGTATATTAATAATACACATAACAAACCACAAGAATGCACTAACACTCGTGTATTACACATTCCATATGCACGTACACAAATCAAAATGTAAACGTAACATGGAAGTTGAAATGTGAAATAGAATCGAATGAACAAAACGAATGGAAAGAAAGGAAAAAGTGAGATTCAGAAATGGTATGCGATTGTGTGCGCGCACTGACTTCGCTTGGTCGCTTTTGTGTATGTATGTGTGTGTGTGTGTGTGTGTTTATATATGAAATTGTAGCAAGTAATGCGTGTGTTTCCCATTCAATACGCATACATAATGGTATACGATGCACGATTGTTGTAGTAGTAGTAGTAATAGTAGCTGGATTTTTGTGATTGTATTGCTTGAATGTAGCTCGACTTGAGTTTATTGTCATATTTTTTTTTTGTTGGTATGTATATGTTTGCTATTGCCCATTGCATCAATCAGAATATAATCTTCATTTATTGTCGTTCATTCATTGATCAAGTTATACAAAACTTGTCTGTATAGAGTGTATTTTTTTTTATTTGACTCAAAATTGCATAGTTTCATTTTTAATAATCTGTTATATCAATTGTGGATAAACATAGAAACAGTAAAGAAAACAATCGTTTTATTTATGATTTTTAAAAGTATTTGCATTTAATAATTTGCTTCGTCTATAGAAAATATAATATTCAAAAAAAAAGTAAGAAAGAAAGAAGTATGAATATATATATACACTTGGAATATGTGAATCACGAGCGGGTGTAAAAAACAAATCTCGCTCACATACAACTATATATTGTATTCTTTACAAATTCTGGATCGCTGTGTGTTGTACTATATATTTCATTTTAATTTATTATTTGTTTCAAAATTTGTTTTGCTTTTCGAATGGTATAAATCATTTTTTAAAATAAAGATTCTTTGGCCTCACCTAGCGAACATTAACTATAATAAACCAAAAATGTTCATAGCATCAGTGAATGTTATAGAATGTGTTGTTACAATGTTAAAGTAAAGAGAAAAAAAAACTGTGAAAATTTTACGTGCTACAGCGTTTTGAATGCGTTTAGATACACACGAAGAGAGAAAGAGCGAGAGAGAAAGAGAAATAAAGAATACAGAACGTGCAAACCATTAAAGCAAGTGACAACAAATCACAAAGTCAACCATTTTTTAAGCAATATTTCGACTCTCTTCGTCAATTTTAAATATAGAATTTTGTTTCCGCTTCTTTATTGTTCTACAAACGAATATATTTGATTTATATACCGAATACCGTGCCAAAAGATGAAATTATTCCCGAAAAAAAACAGCAACAGCTAATTTGCATGTAGTGTGCATTCATTATTGGGATTATTCTCACGTACATCTCTATTTCTTCTCTTCGTTCATTTATGTATGCTTTCATTGGACATTTACATTTCGCCGTTAAAAATGCAACGCAATTTTCATATAATTATCACAAGATATAAAAAGTGCACGAAAGTTTCATCGAATAAATAATAATAAAACGGAGAAACCGGAATGAATTTTGCTTTTAATATGGTCATTAGATTTACTAACAAAACACAACATCATTTGTCTAAGAATCAATCTGTCAATAAGTCCTCATTTCAAATGAATAATCGATGAAATAGCACTTTACGTACACACAACTATCTGAAAATATATAGTAACCGAGCATCGCCGAAATCCAGGGACTAGCTAATTTATTTTCTTTTTTCTTTCTTGGAATATTTTTCTATCTGAATGTAGGATGTGTATTTTTTTCAGTGATTAAGAGAAACAATGATAGAATGAAAAAAAAAAACAAGCGCATAACAACAGAATTATTCAAAACAATGCATACGCTTAAAACAATCAAATCAGTTGCTGATTATTTCAAGACCTTTTGATATTATGAATGTCAAAATTTTCATGCAAAAATAAACATGTAAAACAACACAAACAAAAGGGAACAATATACACAAAAAAAAGTGTATATATTCATTTCTCCAAACCGGTCATGAAATTCTAAGATGTGATTTGATTTTATTTTTATATGTAAAGTGTCCATAGTCCAACACACACGATCTCGTCGGAAACCGATTCCAAGTGTATTTATAATATACGCATTTAATTAATGAACCCTTAAATGAATACAACAAAATAAATTAATTGTCGTTTCTATTTAGTGCAGTGGAATTTTAAGTACTTCACCGAACGAAATCAATGATAAACAGTAAATTAAAGTAGCTTTAGGGCGAAAGCGAGCGAGAGAATCTAAGAGAGTGAGAACGAACGCGCGCGCGAGACAGAGAGAGATAGAAAGAGATTTGGCCATCAATAGTGAATATTGATAGCAGGAAAAATCAATAAATAGTTAAAGTGTATTTTCATCTCATACAAAATGAGTACAATTCTTAATAACGTATCAACGTCATTGATTATACTAGCTGTTATAATTCTCACATTCGATTCACAAAGTGGAGCATTTGCGACTGAACAGGTAAGCTAACACTTGTCATCTTAATAACATTTTGGCTTTTATTGTTGTTTGTATATTGACTTGGTTGAATTATGTACTTGATTCGTTTCACATCTGTACCATATGACGATTAAACAAAAGATGTCATGAACTAATTTTGCAAGTGATAACATCTTCTCGGAAATTCCCAGTCAGAATCTATCTATATATATATTGAATTATCAATGCGTGTAAATGCACAATAAAAATAAAATCAAATATTGGAAATAAAGATCATTTATTTATTCGAATCTATTTAATTCTATGTGTATCAAAATCAAATGTCGAACGCAAGATCAAAAAAGTACCCTTCAGTCACACTGTTTACAACAATGCGAACGTTTAAAACACTTGACCCGCGAATGTATGCGAATGACAACATCACGAATGTCCAACTTGGTTGTATTTCTGAACACATATCGATATGAAAATACCGATTGAAGCAAAAATATTGTGCGTATTTATTGACACAATAGTGGTCGTCTTTTATTTTTCAAATATAACATCGATCAAAAATAGAGTACGTTCTTCAGATCTTTATTAGATAAAAAATGCGAGTTAATTAGATAAATCAAAAAGGTGATTATATATTTGAAATGCATTTTTCATTTATAGACACGACATCAATCGGTTATCTCTTATCTATCTGTATATTTCCATTTAATTACAGATATATATCAAATTAAGTACGGTGATGATGATCTCGTCGATCTCATCATACTTTAATGTGCATACCGTGCTATTACTGCATAATTTTCATTGCCTCATAATTATAGGGGTCAAATTTATAAAATCGCTTATCTCCGGTAGTAACGCAGAAATAATTTGAAACACTGCGATCCCAAAACTTTACTATTTTGCTGAACTTAAGTACAAAAACCATACTATTTCTATGCAAAATCATCATTATCAAACAACTCATTTTTATCATTCATGTTTTTTTTATCCGCTCATGCGGTTATCCGAGTCGGAAACTCTGAGAACCGAATTTATCTGACCGTGTTTTAATCACAAATATTATGCATATCATTATTCGCACATGAATACATAACATTTATTGTCTACATGCAGAGATGAACATTTCATATTGACACGTAGAAAGAAAGGTTCATGCTAAATTTCTACACTGAAAACTAATTGTGGTGAATTTGGCCGCATAATGTTCATTACAGTACATCAAGAGTCTATTATAATATGTGCTATCACTTTGACCACAGCGATAAACATAAGGAAAATCCAAAAAGTCTACCACAATTCTTTTTTTTACGTGTACAATGAACAACAAATGACGATTACAATTGTCTTACATTATTATCGATTAAACTCTCTGTGAATATTATGTCATTGGAAAAATCAGTCTCATTGGAGCCCTTCGATACTATATTTGTCGCACTATTACCGAAAACGTATCGAAAAACATTCGTGTATTGTAGCTAATGCAATGTAATACATTGTACACAGTTTGTCATCGACATATAGACGTACTATGCTAGGTAATGGATTAAATGATAACGAGGCCAGGATATTTTCTCCATCGTATGATCTTATTATCAAAATAAAATAAAAACTTTCTCATGATTCTTTTTTATAAAACAAGTTTTGGCATTTAATATTCAGAAAATATAGAAGATGTTTAGGATAGATAAATGAAGAGAGAATTCAGGTACTCCAGCCATCAACTGATTTCAATAACTTTTACGTCACTTCTATTAGTTTCATAGTCCAATAAAACCCAATTTCACGCTTAAACTCAAACTAATCAACATGAATAAAAAAAAACGTTTTTTTTTCTTTTATATTTTGTGCATGCTATGGTAAAAATCATTTGTTAAATGTCGTACGCAGTAGTTTAACTATATATTTCAGTGAAAAAGTTTCAAATAATGTACGTACTTGTGCTGCACAGTTTTCATGAACATTAGGATAAAAACATACTTTCTTCATATAGAAAAAAAAGTTGGTTAATTCGTTACATTTTAAGAAAAGAAATAAATAAAAATGTTGCAGATAGTTCGAGGATGCTGTTTTCAATGCTCATTTTGACTATGTATTCCAAAGATTATATGTATGTCTTATGTATCAACACATTTCCAATAACATTAATTATCTATTTTCGTAAAATTTATCTCCAATATTGCATATCTTCTATATTACATCTCTATCATAACGTTATAAATTAACTCTCGACAAAGTTGTGCAAATTTAATTTAATGGTTGAGTACATTGATTTTGAATCTAATAAACGCAATTATGTGCGGTAAGATTCAAATTTTTTTTTTAATACTATGAGTTCATTCCGTACAATAATTAGCACTTCAAAAATTGGATTCAATAAATAGAATGATGAATCAACCCGCACATACTTAGTATATGCATAATCAAATCATTTTCTAATTGATAAAATTGTGAAATCAAATCAACAAAAAAAAATACCGTTCAATAAATTGCATTTTACCGTACGAACATTGGACATTCGAGTAAAGCTTGTTGGCAAACTTTTTCGTGAAAACTGTTCAATCCGTTGGAGCTTTTCCATCACAAAAACATGGAATGAAAGCTTTTGGATAATGTTGTGCCTTGTATCAATGTATCATACCAAAGCTCATAAAAATTTGTATCTTATGGATCCCGCTCTTATTAACGTCAAAATGAAGATGCGCGCAGATTTATTGATTTTTTTCTTTTAAATTGCCTAGTTTATATAATAATATCTTGAAGAAAAAATTGAGTTGAATAATTTAAAAATTTATTGTTGAATATTTGAATGAAATTATATGTCAGGCTAGACATAATATGAATGCATTTTTGAGGGGAGAATGAAATTTGCGGGAAAAAAACGATTGAAGGAAAACAGTGAGTGCGCAAAATCGAGATATCGTTATATGTACATACCAACACAAATTGCATTTCGTGGGCAAACGTTTTATCCGAATTAAATATCGTCGTGGATTGGTCAGGATGAAACATCTTCGCACACATATCTTGTTCAGTTATTGATAATACTTTCATGTGTTTGTTTCCTAGGTCTATTCTCAAAAGAATTCAAGAGTTTTCTAATTACTATCTTTTGATTGGTATTGATTGCTCAAAACGCGTAATTTAACACTCAAGATAAAAGTTTTGCAACTTTAATCTGCATTGAAAAATTCCAGTTCATTGTAGAACAAAGTGTTGTCATAGTTTTAGTATATACTGAAAAATCATACCTTAAGCAGTTCAAAGGGTTAAAATCAGTGTACAGTTGTATACATTTTAAAGGAAAGAAAAAAACTACGTAAAAGAAACATCAATTTGATACACTTATAAATAATATTCACCAGAATCCATTTATTGTGTTATTGATAAATGTAGAAAAAAAGTACATAATTTTTACATGAAAGTCATTGTGATACAAACATGGACAATTACAACTTAAAAAGAAAAAAAATATATAACTTTTAAATAATAATAAAAAAAAAAACAAACCGAAATAATAATTTGCGTATTCTTAATTTCATCGTAGAAGCCTGAATCTCTGCTGTGGCAAATAAGCTCAACTCAAACACCAAAAATTTCAACAGTTTTATCTTCGATTAACACATCTACATCAATTGGATCTACGACATCATCAACTGATGCAATTCTTCCTAACGACGAAGGACTTGAAGGATCCGGTGGACGTGGAGAAGTAAGTTTTATTTTTATTATCATTGTTATAATCTATGTACACAGTAGAAGACTACTTCTTCTTTATATCTTCTTATTAAAATACTAGAAATGTTTATCGAATTTTTATTCTAATTAAATTGATACAATGACAGTAGAAAAAGGAATAATTGAATGTAAATGGGTAATTTATGGATCGTGATTTGCATTTGAATTTGAATTTGAAAAAAAAGAACAATAAATCATAAAGTTTTCGGCACTTCGTCAAAAATGGAATTTGCAAATCGATAACGACTTCTTTATGTTCTATTTTATTTTTTCATAAGGCGAAGTAAAGTTAGTAGAATAATACTGCGAAAAAAAATCCGGTTGTCAAGAAATACGAAATGTATTCCAAGTGAGTTTACCGAACACACCTTGAATGGCGTGTTTTTGCGACATGAATAAATACATCATGTATGTTTTATGACAACTCAATACAATACATTGTATTGAGACAGGCCGTTGTTATACTATTATTCTCTGCTTTAAAATGCCTATCGAATGTCATGAAACTTTTATCTCAGCGCCAACTTTCAAACAATTGCAATAATGTTTTTAACAGCCTTTGTAACAACATCAACTATGGTTACCACAAAATCGGTTTTTATCACTAATTTGTTTGAATAAAACACCTGTCTTCTAGTTAATATGCGCAAATGAAAGAAATGGTTTGAAAATGGATTCAATTTAAATTCTATAAACTTATATGGAACTAAGCGACGTATAAAATAATAGTTCCCGACTATTGTAATATAAAACAGAAATGTTTACAATAAATTGATTTTTGTTATAGATTCATGACGATTTAGAAAAAGAACCTGAATATTCTGGATCTGGTTTTGGACCTGATGATGAGGATTCATCTTCATCAACAACACATCACCGCAAGAAAGGTAAATTAACTTCATTTGGTTTATGTATGCAAATAATGCAAACACACTATTAGCCATTGATTCATTTAGTTTGTTTGTCAGAAACTTTGTGTCATAATACATTGTATTTAATTTATTTAACAGGAGGATATAAATCAAACACAGGCAACAGTGGATATAAACCAATAAATAGTAAGAACAAAGAATCTACTCCGGAAATTGAAATAAACAAACAAACCGAAAAGCCCACATTCCCAATTGATACGATTGATGAAGATCAGGAACAGGGCTCGGGTAAAGGCGATGACATAGATGGCGATGACACCGACGAATTTGATCAGAAACACCGAATTGTGCCAGATGGAGAAGGAGAGGGTGAAAATGGAGGAAACAATGTTCTCATTCCAAGCGGTAAACCCGACTTAAATAATCACGGAAATCCAGATGATGGGGATGGTGACGATGATCTCATTACAGAAATCGACAATACCGACGACATCTCAAGTAAACTGAAATATTTTTACTTTCGCTATAAAACGATGCGCGATTTGGAAAAAAAAAATCCGACAAAAAAATTATGCGAAAAATTTCCCACACAAAAAATTCACATTTTTATGTCAAATTCATTCATTTTATTTTCCGCATTTAATTTTTTTGTACTGCATCATTCAAACGGTTTTGATTGAAAAGAAAATTATACGGACGTTCAGATGAAATACACAGACAGGTCTTTCTCATCTTAAAACAGATATTTATGGCCAAAAGAAATGTGCATCATAACAATCATTTGCAATCTGTTTTTTTTTCTTTGTACCATCTGTTATAATTTTCTTTTTTGTCATTACTTTTAATTTTTCAATCATTCACAATTCTACGAGAGGTGAAGTCGAGAGACGAGTGTCATACATTTCAAGGGAGTTCAACGAAGAAATGCATGATTTCGCCAATTATTTTTCACTTTCTTTCGATATAAGGCACATAAGTAAGTGGCAGTAATATTAAAAAGCAAATCTTTCATCCACTTCATTCAATATACTCTTCTCTCGACAACACGCGTAGCTTCATCCGCTTAGAATTAAAAACGACAACAACAATAAAACCATAGTATGTTTCACTTTTGGTGTGTATTTGTGTTTAAATAAGTGAGTTTGAATGCAAGAAAAAAAAGTTCTCTCCAAGTCCGATTATAGTAAACTACCGTAATTCGTGTGTTTGTTCCATGTGTCGAAATATTTGTAAAACATTTGATTAAAAAAAGATAAGAAATGAATTATTATTTTAATGAATATTTCGAAATATGGTCGACTCACGATATTATTTGTATTTATTACGTGACTAATAATAATAGGACACTTAAATGAATTACAAATATAATTAACATTTTTTTGTGTACAAGATCTTCCGAGCTACTAGATAAAATTCATAAAAATTATTGAATTTAAAATCAGATCAAAATATAATATACGGAATATCTTGTCTGTGTAGCACTGCCATTCCTTAATTGACGTACAAATTGAAAGTGAACTGCACGTATAACATTTTTAGATTATATAAATGGATGTAAAAAGTGTTCAAAATCACCTTTTATTAAATTTTTTAATGAAATGAAACCGCTACCTCTGGTTCAAATTTGAATCACCCTTTATGTTTTAAATCAGTGGTTTCCAATTTAGCAAGCGAAACGAACCGAAAATTATGCAAATTTACAATTTTTTTTTTGACATAGATAGGCCCGAGGCCCGCTATTGAAGGAATCACGGACCTCAGGGAGTCTACTAGTTGGAAACCACTGTTTTAAATGGTTCCATAAGAGCTTAAGTATAAACTTTGGATGCAAACTTGACACTCAGTCAAACCCCCAAACGTTCTTCACGAACCGAATATTAGAAATGTAATGAATAGCCAAAAAAATGTTGTTTAAAAATGTTCGTTCAATTTTTTTTCTATCAAGCACAACTCGTTTATGAGTTTCTGATGGAGAATGAAAATATGATTTCTTTTTGTCTGTACACTATTTCTTTCATCGTCCAAATATGTGTGTGTCACACTTTTATGTTTTGATGTAAATATTTGTATGTAAATTAAACCAATTGAACTACTTTGAAAGGAAAACCTTACAGCCAAAAATACTGTGTTACCACTTAAACTCATCATAAAAAAATTTCTTTTCGCATAATTTACATCTATCAATATTGAAAAATGCATATAAAAATCAGAACACATTTCCTCTGATTTTTATTATTTGAGAAACATCATTTCCCTTCAATATATTTTATCGTAGTATGTGGTGAAATAATGTATTTTTTTAATTTTATTTCACATTTCTCATAAATCTAGTTTTCTCCAAACCAAAAACGTAGTGATCCAACTTTTATTTGCAAGAAAAGCATGAACTAAGAAAACTTAAACCGAATATCATCCATTTTATTATCGATTGGTTCATTTCTCTATTTTAAAGTCTTCCTCATTGTTTTCATTTTATTTTGATTTCTCATCGAGCGCCAAAACTTCATCCCTTTTTTGTCTGATTTTTCATGCGGATTACAACTTGTTTTTTTTTTTCGTTTAAAAGAAATGTCTATGGGAATGATAAACATCTGCGCTCCACGTTGATTAAAACATTGAATTTGAACTTAAGGAAAAGTTGAGCAACAAGAACTACAACATTTTCCCGGTAAAAAAAAATGCCTTTGGAAATGAAAAACAATATCTAAATTCACCTTCTTTCTTCTCCGTCCGCACAATTTGGTCATCTGTTTGGAGGACTTCATTTTATGAAGTGTGACTTGTCGACAAAAAATTGCAAGAAAAAATGAATTAAAAAAAATTAAATCGTCAATACACATCATTTTACGCCATATATTTTACTTCTCTAGTACTCAGATACGTCAGATTGCGAAATGTATAAAAAAAATATTATTCTGAATCTATTGTAAGTCGCTAAAAATGAAAATGATGTAAGAGATCCTACCGAAATGTGCCAAAGTAAAATTAAGCGGTACAAATTCATTTTCGTTCTCAGCTACGCAAGTTTGAAGAAACGCTCTATATAAATAATATTTTTATACAGCTGCACACACACACACACACACACACACACACACACACACACACACACACGTATACAAAAAGAATACATACATGCATAGTGCATACTATTGAAGTTTCCAGCATGTAAAATACTGTGGAACATAAAAAACTACCAATTTTAAAATCCATCTCTAATGTGATTGCAATCTTAGTTTGATTTTCTTAATTTTCCTACTTTTGCACATTTTTAAATACAAACCTATGTTTATTGTCTATCAATATAGTTGACAAACCAAGCAGCGAAACGGATACTGATTTGAGTTACGGTGAACAGAACGAAATTGACTTGGACAAAACCGGAAAAAGTGACACATCTACTGGTAAACCGTCATCGGGAATTGAACAAAGTCACACACCAACTGGAAACGAAGTGTTCATCATGGACAATCGACCCGAAGATCGAACAACCAGCTTTTTTGCACAACCAGGCATTTTGGCCGGTACGATAATATTTGGCGTTTTATTTTAGCATTTGTGGTGCTAAGTACCACCATAGACTGGATTTAAATGTATTCAAAATTCAAATTGAATTGAGGTGTTGCCGGGCGTAAAGAGCCAACATTTTTTTTTTAATATTTCGTTTCGAATTTTTGTTATTCTGTTTTCTATCGAAAAACAAAATGCAAGAAAATACATGTGTTTCCTTACTCAGTTCACTTTGTGTAAAAAAAGACGTTGGTTCATTCTTCATTTTTATTCTTTTTTGAATATTAAAAATCACGCAACAATGTAGTTCATATAAAGCCATCGCAATTCAATTTTAATTTTTGAAACATTTGGAAATTTTTTGGCAAATTTACATAAACGTACACAATTTTGAATTTTTTTTTTTTTTTTTTAATTACATCCATTTTCCATTTCATATACACACGGGATTATCATTTACTTTGTCATTGTCCGTTTTCACACAACCATCTACATGCAATTTTGAAATACACTCATCGAAACCATCATCAAATAGCTGTTATTGGAGGAGCCGTTGTTGGACTTTTATGTGCCATTTTAGTTGTAATGTTCATCGTTTATCGGATGCGGAAAAAGGATGAAGGTTCATATGCACTGGATGAACCAAAGCGATCACCAGCCGTCAATTCATATGCAAAAAATGCAAATAATCGGGAGTTTTATGCCTGAGATCATTTTACATTAAATTAAAAGAACACACAGACACACAAAACGATATGAATATATACATGAACAACAACAGTATAATTTTTTAGCATTTGCCAAACAACTTATATTTTCATAGGGAAAAAAGAAACTACGAAAAAAAGTAAAATAAATGAATACTTTATGTAATTGAAACATATAGCAAAAAAATGCCAATGATCATATTAAAAACAAATTGATATTACAATCACATTCAAAATCAATTATATCAATACGTACTGTATAGATGCATCAACAAAAAAAAACCAAATAACAAAAAAATATTGACAAATAAATGGCATTTGCTCAACAACAAGAAATTTACACACACATAAATTGATGGCAATATGAGATATCTATTTGACATTTTCTTAGGAAAATCATTATAAAATTGAAATGAAAAATAATTGACATTAAATCTATTAATTGATAAAAACAAACGAGAGAATTAATTGAATGAAAATGAAGAATGTAAGAGAAAAAAAAAACAGAAAAAAATACAATGAAAAATCTATGTGAACTACTAAAAATAACGAATATTTTTTAATCGAAGATATGTTACAGAAGGACAAAAAAAATCTAGAAAATTTATAACAATTCTTTTGCTAGAGTCGAGGCCGATAATCAAGCAATCTGATTATTTCACAATATGAAACTTTGGTATGAAGAAATACAAAAAAAAAAATAATAATAAAATTTGAATATGTTATTCAACTTAAAAAAAATTTATTGAATGTGCATATTAAACCTTGATCACATTTAAATCAGATATGAGGAATAAATTCTTGATTGAGTGCGGCGCGCTTTATGATATATTTAATTTTCTTCTTTATTTTATCTTACTAGAACACCGCACAACAAATCTGTTGTCATTTAGCATTAATGACAAATCTAACATGAACATTACTGTCTGAAAAAAACATTAACAAAACAAAAATTATAGAAGTAAATATGAAGTTTTATATAGTTGTAATTTTGAAAAAATGTGGACATAATTTTCAATTTTTTTTGGCAAAAGGCTGACTTGCATTTCAAGTATTAAAAAACAAGGCATAAATGGGACAAAAAAAAACATTTAATTAAATACCAGTTAGAAAACGATGGAGTATAATATTTTAAGCAAAACCACATAGTTTAATATGTTCAGAAGTAAAAGAAAAGGAATTTTTTTTAACATGTTCCAAAATACCGATACAAAAGAGTCAATCGAAGGCAATGGAAGCGTATAGAAAGTGTGTATACATTTATTTCGATCAAACGCAATTGTGTTGGAACATCAATAAATAACATTAAATATTCGCACAGTTTGACTTTATGTGACGTGAAATGCTGAAATCCCAATAAAAACTCAACCCAAATGATGCAAAAACATGCTCGAACAAATATACAATACAAATTGATTTCAACCAAAAATCATACACACGACGCATTTATCAAAGCATCTTATTGAACATTACAAACAATTAAAAAGAGCTTTGGGTATAGATATTCAAATTCATTTGATAAAAAGTAATAAAATTTATGGCAAACGACATCATTTTCTGCGATGATTTGCAGAAAAGGGTGTGAGCGTGCGCCATACGTATATAAATCTACCCAAATCGTGCGATTCTTTATGGCGATTTCCATGAAATTATATTTATTTTTTATTAACTTATTTCTTCAAAATACGTGGGCGCGCTTCGATTTATTTCTGCTCCATATGCATATGATTATAACAACATTTGGGTCACATGGGTAAATTTAGTTTCTTTTTTTTCGTTTTAATCATTCAAATTCGAATAATTCAACAGTATTTTTTAGACCTTAGACTAAGATTCCAGAGAAGGTTTTTTTTTTATTTTTCAAAAAATCCAAATCGTCATTTGATTTTTAAAACGTGTCACAAATAGTTGCTACATTGGAATTCATGCTGATATTAAACAACATCATAGGGTATTAGATATCAGATGATACAAACAGATACATACAGATTACTGTGCCATACACAAATCCACACAACATACCTACATTAAAAAAAAAAGTAAGAGACTTTTCTCAATTCAAAACCGTTTTTAAATAACATTCAACTTGTCCAAAATTAGAGAAAGGAATACATATATATTAGGGTGTTTCCCATATCTGTAAATAGAAAAAAGGTATTTATTAATTCAAAGTAGGCAAAATTCTATGGTAGTTAATGGCATTTATACAACGAAGCGATTGATGGTAGCACTTCCCGAAGCGAAAAACAATTGTCACGTCTGAATATATAAATGCAATCGAATAATGAAAAATACTCACAGAAAAACAGAGCCTTGGTAGTACTTCCTCGAAATGCTGAGACACAACAGTCAGTCTCAGTTAGTGTAACAAAATTACAATATTAATTTTTAATTAATTTTCGAGTTAAAATAGTGATTGGTTATGCTTAAGGCTGTTGATTATTTTGAACTGCTTGTTGTCGACGTGGTCTCTGCAATGTTAGCGGGATATCCAGTCCAAACAGGTTACAATGTCCTATAAAAAAATACAAATGTCATTTAACACAGACATAACACATCTATAATATGCAAATGTCCATTTCTTATATACATACCTTTGAAGAGAATGCATTTGGCGGCCACGATATCACGATCCCAAGTTGTCTGATGTACAATCATTGGTTGTTGCTTGTCATCGATTTCCGTCACACATTCATCATCGACTGTACACGGTTGTTGAGCGACCTCTCCATCGATTTCCGCTGCATTTTCATCATCAACTGGATGTGGTTGTTGATCGTCTTTGACGCCAGCATATTCCAATACACCACTCACTGCGTTTACTTGCCATTTTTTTGGATACACGGCCACCTTAGACAGTAAACGATCAGCTATAATGTCGAAATCATGCTCAGTCATTTCACCTCGAGCCAGAAATACCGCCAAACTCTCTTCAATATAAACTTTGTTATACTTTAAACGCCGTTTGCTGAGCTGTGCCACGATTTTCGATGGTAAAAAGTTAGCCATGATTGAATTTGGCACCGGTGCACAATTTTCACAAACTTTGAAACGGTTGCTTTTGGTGTTTGGATCGAATCGTCCGCCACATTTTGCGCATGTCTGTGATGTAAAATACTCATCGACTTTGCGCACGACAAAATTGCCACGTTTTCGAAAACCTTTCAAAAGTTTGCGTGTACCGGGACAGCGCACATGCTTCTTAATGCGTATTGGCGAATTTGGTGACATGTCGGCGTTGCCCGAATGAATCAAAGCTGCTTGATGATTAACCAAAGTGCCGCAAAGTTTATCTAGAGTACTATTGGACTCAACATACTTGTCAAACTTCAAGCGCGCATATTTTGGTGTAGTGTACACGTCCATTCCTTTCTTGAGCATTTTTATCCGATGGCAAATGTAATCAGTCCAAAGTGTACCAAGCGGTGATGGCATTCGCTGGTACAGCTGTCGATTGTTTCGATCATTTTGCTCATCCAAAGTGAACTGCTTCGTCCAGCGCTTGGCCTTTTTGTCGCGCATTTTATATTTCGTGAGCCAATGGTACTTTTTACTAGATGTTGTCAAGTTGACCTGAAATTAAAATTAAAAAAAAAAATCAATTGAAAATTTTGTTTGTTTGCTTCATTCATGTAACATATAACTCTCGATTTTTTAACAATGCTAAAGAAAAATTAAATACTTACTTCTTTGCGAGTACTGATGGTTCTTCGAACAGTCGCATTCCATGTCTTCATACCCGGATCGATTCCCAGTTCATAAACAAACGTTCCATCTAAGTATCGCTTTCTCACAATGTCATCATCCAGCAACCGTTGAAGATGTTCTTTTGACAATTTATACAATACCGATACTGATTCACCGTTGCTGACAATAGTATAATGAAACTCTTTTTGATCTTCGGTATTGTGACGTTGTTGTCTTGCGCCCAATTGTGAAACTCATCGATTTCGCTTTGCATGACAAGCCACATTGCAGTTGCTTTGAACCAGTATTTGCCTTTTGAGAACTGCTTGATGTTCTCATAATTCGCTAGTCCACCAACCTCTTCCACAATTGCACGAACCATGTCAAGCAGCAACTTTCTTTTGTATCGTTTAAGAGGTGCATTCTGATGTGTGTCTCGAATGGCATCATAGCGTCGAATCGCCCAATCAATTGCATTGTCAACATCCTTTTTATCGAACCTCAAA